TAGTTTAAGAGATCCTGTCTTGAAAAATGTCCAACACAAAAAAGGGCTGGCTCAACTGTTAGAGCACCTACTTAGCAAGTGTGAGGCTCTGAGTTCAAACCCAAGTACTGCCAAACGAAAAAGAAAAAAGAAACTGAGATAGAGCCAGGTAGGGAGAAGTTAGATTGGAGAGAGTTTAGAAATGAGGAGAAATAGGAAGTGCAGACAACTTGACTTTTTTTCTGTTATGACGAAGAAGTAGGGTGATAGCTAGAAAGTAATGAGGGGCCCAGTGGGAATTTCTTTCCTCTTTTTCTTTCTTTCTCTTAATTGGGTGGAAACTGAACTCTAGGAGTGAGCGAGAATGTGAATATAGAAAAAAACATATAACTTCAGTTCTCCGAGAAGGTAGGAGAAGATAACATACAAGAGGAAGATTTGGCCTTAGGAGAAACAGTTCCACCTGTGTAGTAGCAGAAGACAAGTGAAATGGCATGGGCAGAGACAGTTAGGATCACATGATGAAGATGGGCTGGGCACGGTCGCACATACATGGAATGTAGCACATGGGAGAGTGAGGCCAGCTTGGGCTACATGTGACTAAGAAAGAAAAACAAAATGCGACAGGTGATGGAACTGCCACTGAATGGCCTCTCTTTTTCTCTGTGAGAGTTGAGAATCAGAGAATGAGAGGAAAATGAAAGAATTATTATTGACAGAGAATCATGGCAGAATTCCCAGTGTTAAGGATCCATTTTGAAGTTGTTATAATTCTGTGTGTGTGTGTGTGTTTGTGTGTAAAATCAACATGCCTACTGGGAACCCCTGCCCCAGTGCTTGGCTGCTCCACACACATGCAGAAAACAGACACTGTGGTTTATCGATGACTGCGGTCTTTGAGGATGCTGCAGTTTTAGATAGAAGGGAGCTTAGGGTACTGGCAAAAGTCTTATTATATGCATGGAGTTTTAGCTGGGCAAGGAGGGTTATAGATAAGTCTGTAAGCTAACAGACAGAAAAAAAGATATTTTATCCAAGGCAGAGTATGAATATGACTAGTAATCCATGTTACAAGTGATGAGAACTGAGATACAGGATAACCAAGTTCACTGTCCCAAAGCTAACTAATGACAGGACACTCTGGTACACAAAAGTGTACTTATTTGATTATCATTAGTAAGTGTGTTATGTAAGGCGTGGTCACCTGGAGCTCAGCTTGGGGTGAATTTTACAATGTCACATAGTAGGGATTAAAAACTAGGTAACAAGAAAAACATAGGTTCTTTGATTGTTCCATGAAAGGTAGGCAGAGGCCAGGACCTTCTGATGGACACTCAGTCCAGGAAAGCAACACCATCCACCCCACCATGCTTTCTCATATGGAAAACATGGTGGTAACCTCATCAGAAAAGACCCTCAGACCAGACCATCAGGCTGGCTGTCTATGCTAGCTAGTCAGAGAAAGTGACTGAAGCCCCTGTTCAACACCTGAAGACAGAGGGGAGCATGAGGTGGAAGTCCCTGCAAGACAGAGAAATAATGCCATGGGTCTTACAGGAAGTTGAGTTCTCCCACTAGTTGAAGGCTATTTCCAGGTTCCATATGGCCATCCGTTCAGGTAACCAAGAACTAGCTCGTAGGGTCACTTTCAGAAAATGCCACTGCTTGTGTTAAAAATTCCTATCATTCAGTAGGTGATACTTAAGTTAGCTTGCTGTGAGTATATTTCAGCAGACTTCTCTCACTTATTTCTTCATCATCCTGTGTGGTTTGCAGAGAAAATGAAGAAACAGAGAATATGGTCTCAAAGTGAAGAGGGTTCTTACGAAACCAGCCACAATGTTGTTGGCCCTTACCAACCAAAATGGTTTAAGCTTAATTTACAGAGAATCTCTCTAAATGTGATTTCTGATACATAAGCAAAAATAGTATATACATATACACACATTTTATATAAACATATATTAATTTCAAAATGACAACATGTCCCATGAGGATTTTTCCCTTTTATAACAAAGATGGGGAAAGTAGAAAACTAAACTAACAGAGCAGATAAGACATGTCCAACAAAAACTTTTCCTTGCCAGGCACAGGGTTGTGTGCCTGCAATTCCACTATTTGCGAGGTTGAGGGAAGCAGATCACCTAAACCCAGGAGTTCAAGACCAGCCTGGGCAACAGATGTGGTGGTGCACTCCTGTAATCCCAGTGCTCAGGGAAGCTGAGGAAGGAGATCCTGACCTCAAGGCCAGCCTGCCTACATAGCAAGTTCATATCTCAAAAAAACCAAAAACTGTCTAGCAAGTGTGAAGGCACACCCCCAACACCAAAAAAAAAAAAGAAAAAAAGAAAATTTTCCTTAATTGATTTAGACGGAGAATAAAATAACTGAGGCTCCATGACTAAGACTCAGAAATTATAGCTACTCTGGGTAGCCCCCCTGCTGAGAGCAGGGGCAGATGTGCAGGTTGGGATTGGGGTTCTTGTCCCATCCCCCCAACGATGAACATGCTGGCCCACGCCGCTGTACATGGCAACTGTTTTTCAGCTCAAAATGAACTACATGCACAGCACCATCAGCCTCAACGAGGCCATCAGACAAAAAGTATGTGGTCCTGCTTCGACATGGAAGGGCACTCATGGCTTTGTTGTTGTGGTGGTAGTACTGGGGCTGGAACCCAGGGCCTACGCCTTGAGCCACTCCGCCAGCCCTTTTTTGTGATGGGTTTTTTCAAAATAGGGTCTTTTGAACTATTTGCCTGGACTGGCTTTGAACACGAGCCTCCTGAGCTCTGCCTCCTGAGTAGCTGGGATTACAGGCATGAGCCACAGGTGCCGGGCCACTCGTGGCTTTTTAAGAAGCATTGGTCAGTTTGCCAACTTAGTGCTGCATCAGACTGTGGAGTATATTCATGTGGGCAAAAAGTATTGTGATATTCCTTAAGGGATTTTTGTGGTCAGAGGAGAAAATGTGGTCCTACTAGGAGAAATGAACTTGGAAAAGGAGAGAGACACACCCCGGCAGCAGGTGTCTGTTGAAGAGATCCCAGAAGAACAGAGGGTGGAGCAGCAGAGCAAGCTGGAAGCAGAGAAGCTGAAAGGTCAGCCTTAGAGATTGGGGTCTCTCCATTCTTTGATGAGTATTAGGTCCTTTGCTCACAGGCTCTTGCTCTTGGAGAGCAGGGGCTGTCACTGAAGGAAAATAACAACCTGGTTACCTCACACATTTGACCAGAGACTGTAGTTTTGAAGAAATAATTTTTTACTTTTAATTCTTTCACATGAAGAAACCCTGGGATTTTGTTTTGTTTAAATAACAAAATCACTGTTTAAAGAAACAGTGGCATGGATCCCTTTCTACAACACACGGCACTGCAGAGCCAGCAGCTCTGTCTTGGTACTGCTTTTCTTATCCAGAATTAAGTTTACACTTTCATTTACTTGTAAATAAAATATGAATCTCAGAATTATTGGATTGTCCCCAAAATTGGAGTTGTCTCCAGTGAATAGACAAATTGTTTCTACTGGAAAAGACGTAAGTAACCCACACGCTATAATTTCCCTTGGCATCACAATTCCAAGTAGCTGGTTACTTATGAAGGAATATTTTCCTATTAATTATCTAGTGAGTCCTCTGGCTCCCTTTCATGTTTGTAGCTGATAAGAAATAAACAAATTTTTGGACTTGAAAAAGAAAGATTTCTATAGTGTTGCAAGAAATCAAAACAAAAACTTGAGCTTAACAGAGACAGTACAAGCTAGATCCTCTCTGTGACTTTTCATTTAAAAGGTACTCCAAAGCTACCTAAAAAAATGCACTATTGAGATGAAGGGCAACTCACATTTCCTGAGGGAACTCAACCGTGAGCAGAATCTCAGCACACAGATGTTGGGGGAGACACCATGGGGAAAAACTGCCTACAGGTGATCAGAGTGAATATACCCTCTGAAAGCTGAAGGTAATGCTTTACCTCAAAAACCCAAAAATCATCAAGGAGAAAAAGGGAAACTATGGGAACTTAAAAAGCCTCCCTTTTCTGACAAAATAAGGAGGAGGGGCAGCTTAGGGCACACAAAGTAGCAGGTTCTATAATTTTAAAAAAATCATACAACTGAACTGGCTATATGATAGTCTACAGATCTCAGTAAAATAGGAAGTAAGGGGCCTCAAACATGAAGGTTTAGGAAGGCGTGAACTTGAGGCACTAAGGCGTGGCCAGAACTACTGACACTTGAAGGTGTTACAGATCCCCCAGGATCTTGTTAGAACACGACTCCAGCAGGTCCACCCTAGGCATTTCTAATGAGCTCCGGGCAATGCCAATGGTACTAGCATCACACGTAGAATCGCAAAGCACACCGGGAATGCAAATGGAAAGTCCCCACACCTTATTCAGCCGTGCATGCATACACAGAAACACACAGACCTTCACAAGATTCGGAAACTGGTGACCTGGAAAAGCAGAGGCCACTTTACCTGTCAGTCATTGATTTTTTAATTTTTTGGTGGTCCTGGGGTTTGAACTCAGAGCTTGGCACTTGGGCACTCCTCCATGGACACATATCTCCAGCCCTTTTTGCTTTAGTTGTTTTTCAAGTAGGGTCTCACATTTTTTGTTCAGGCCAGTGTGGACCTCAATCCTCCTGTCTCCCTCATAGCTGGGATGACAGGTGCGTGCCACCACACCTAACTTTTTTGTTGAGATAGGGTCTCACTAACCTTTTGCCTGGGATGGCCAAGAACCATGATGGCAAGCCTCTTAATCTCTACGTCCTGAGTACCTGGGATTACAGGCATGAGCCAGCATGTCCGTCCTGGATTGCTTTTTGCTTTGTAATAATCAAAGTTATTAACAAAACCGGATCATGAGAGAGCCTGTACTATTTTTCCAGAGAGTCCTACAAGTGCTGATAAAGCAATATGTGCCCGCCTGGCAACATTCCATGAAGGTACACAGTGGGGCACTATAAAATGCAGTGCACATGTTTACAGGGGAACATGGAAACATCGAGTAGACTTACCTGAGGAAAACATCTCAGGTAAAGTGCTTGCATGTTGAGCCATGGGCTCGAGCACCAAAAGAACCGTGTCTCCTGTTTGCTGCCCACTGTGCTCCATCCAGCAGGAAGGGCTAAAGACATTTGATCGGCAAATTGAGCCCTCCAATCTGAACCAATGAGAACCAGGCCTAGAACACATTAAAGAACCAAGAATCAGCCTACTTTCCTGCTATTTCCTGTCTGGGTGACATTCACAGCCCACTAACTACCAATAGTCCACTTCCCAGCCCCATGCCTAGTTCCCATCATGTTTGCCCATATTTAGGGGGAGCCACTACCTCAGTCATTTGGATTCTAGTTCTGCAACTAAGTTTGGAGCTTGGTAAAAATCCTACACAGTACAACTTCTGGACCTCTGATATACCTGGTCCTCGGAGCCCCTTTTCAGCCCCTTCTCTGTACAAGCTATTTGTATCTGCAACCTGTGGTCTAACACCAACCCCAACCACAAAGATGGCATCAGTTGAGTGCATGGACTGCAGTTTACGCCTAGTGCTAACACATCTTACTCCATCAGATGGACCCCTTGCCTATTTGTGCCAGCCTGGATAGGACCCACACTGTCTCTGAAACTGCTGATTTATTCCACAAAAAAAAAGTCGTGTGGCCTAATCAGTACCTTTCATCTCTGTGTAATTCCATAATACCTTGTGGCCACACCCAGCAGTGTTTTAGAAATCTGCTGACCAACTAGCAGATTTCTCTGCTAGTTTCTCTGTGACCAACTAACTACTTTACATTTCTAGACCTTATTTTTCTATCTACAATATGGAGTTAGTAAATATTCACAAAATTGTGGAGAAGATTAAACAGAACCATAAATATTACAATACTTTGAAAACCTGTAAAGTACTACATAAATATCAAATATCCCTGGTATTGCAAGTTTAATTTAGCAGAGGAATAAACTACTTTAAATAGCAACTCCTCCAAGCCCTAAGTAATGAAGTAACAGTTAACACCACATTCTGTCTCTCAAACCCAAGAACTAAGGGGACAACTTGATCTGTACTAATGACACCAAATAAAATGTATCCAACAACTTGCATATATGTAAGCACTCCTGTAGATACCGGCCAAATCCCCCTTCTACTGAGCATGTAGATGCTACACCGTGAGGTTCACTCACTCCTTGTAGGAAAACTAATTCTGTGCTTCCATGTTTAAATTTTTCCTATTTGGGGTATTATAAGTCAATTATATCATTATAAGATATAATTAAGACTGGCAGAGTGGCTCAAGTGGTAAGAGCACCTGCCTAGCAAATGTGAGGCCCTGAGTTCAAATCCTAGTATCATGAAAAACAACCACAACAAAAAGACATGTTAATTAAATCATCTTGCACTAAGTATCCAGTGCAAAATGCCAAGGAATTTTGGCAACCCAGAGGTAATACAATCTATGGTTAATTTGATCATATGAATAACATAGTTTAATTGCAGAAAATACATATAAGAAGTATAAATTTGTTCTACAATATTCCCACAAAAACCATCATATTATTTCACTAAATATTTCTTAGGACTTTAAAGAAATTCCGTCTTGATCCAATCTCATAGTACCTCAAATGAAAGATGGATACAAGATACCTGGGAGGCAAGAAGTCAGCATTATTGTCTTCAGAGTAGTATCCAGAGTTCATGTGGCTGAGCCTCTAAAAGCAAGAGGACAGCTGGGTAGAGGGTCCTTAAGCTTACCTGGTGCATGTCTTGCTCCACAATGGAAGACTAGCTCTTTTTATTTTTTTTATTTTCTTGGTGGGACTGGGGTTTGAACTCAGGGCTTCAAGTTCGCAAAGCAGGCACTTTACCACTTCAGCCACACCTCCAGTCTACTTTGCTCTGGTTATTTTGGAGATGGAGTCTCACGAACTATTTTCCTGGGCTGGTCTCAAACCATGATCTTCCAGATCTCAGCCCCCAAGTAGCTAGGATTACAGCGTGAGTCACTGACACCTGGCAAGGACCAGTTTTGGGTTGTTTTTTTCTGGCAGTAGGGGGTTTGAACTCAAGGCCTCACGCTTGCTAGGCAGACACTACCTCTTGAGCAGCTCCATTAGCCAAGGACCAGCTCTTACAGGAGTGATGCAGGGGGAAGTACAAGACTAAGCATCACAACTTCCACAGGTTGAATTCTGTGGAATTCTGTGAATTCTGATTGCTGTCAATTCTCTCGGGGACAGGACCTGGTAGAAGTCTCAACAACCTGAAGGCTTTCCTTATCCCATGCTTTGTGTCTTGCTGAGTGAGGGCATGTCAGTGAGACCACAGTAGGTTGCCCCCAAAGCCCTCCAATCTTCCTGAAATGTAGTATCATCGCCACTTTGTGTAGCTGAAATTCCTGATTTCTGAATAGTATCTTACTGTGCATTCTCCTTCTGATACAGATTTCCTATTTCTGCATTCTACATTAGAGACCATTGTGGTGAACATTAGTCTCCCAAAGAGGCTTGTCTACACAACTAGTGTGTCAATAGGTTCTCCAATTGTCTTTCCTGACATGTACGTCGTGTTTTTGTTTCCTGCTCTCCTGAGTGGTACCGAATTACGAATACAGTGAGGCTGTCTGACACCTTGATACTAAGTTACTATTTAGACATAGCACAACAGAATGAGAATGTGCCTCAAATTTTCATTCCTTCTTACAACTTATTTTATAGTATCAAAGAACTAATAAACATTAGGAAGTAGAGATGGACCAAGATGGATCCTAGTGTGTGTGTGGAGGGGGGTATTTGTGGGAGGGGGAGGTAAATGAAGGAGATGAAGGTGAGGAAATATGGTTGATGGACTTCATATACTTATATGAAACAGAACAAAGAAACCTCTTGCAACCACTTCAAGTGGGGCGGGGAGGGGGTTGAGGGGGAGAGACCATGAGGGTGATCTAACCAATGTACAATATAAGCCTACTTGGAATTGTCACAATGAACCCCCTGTACAACAAACATATCCTAATAAAAATTTATTTAAAAAAGATGGATCCTAGAGAATACATTAAATAAATATGGCATGACTTCTAAAGCAAGTTCAAAGGCTAAATTTTGAATTGGTTCAGAATTTAACATATGTTTCATACATTTGTACTTCAAAAATACCATTATAAAATTTAGGTAGGTTTCATTTTTTTTTTCAGGATATAAGTAACTTTAGATGATTTGTACATTCTTTCCAGTAGAATAATTTTTTTTGGTGGGACTGGAATTTAAACTTAGGATCCATGCTTGCTAGGCAGGACCTCTACCACTTTAGCCCCTCTGTTGGCTCCTTTTTTGGACTGGGTATTTTCGAGACAGGGTCTCACAAACTATTTCCCAGGGCAGGCTTCAAACCACAACCCTCCTGATCTCTGCCCCTTTAGGAGCTAGGATTATAGGCATGAGTCATCAGCACCCAGCATCCAGTAAAAATTTTTGTGTGTGTATGTGGCATTGGGGCTTGAACTCAGTGCCTCATGCTTGCTAGGCAGGCGCTCTTACCACTTGAGCCACTCCCCCAGCCCTGAACATTTTTTTATAAAAAATGTTCTAGCACTCAGGAGGCGAGGATCTCAAGTTTGAGGCCAGCCTGGGCTACCTAATGAGACCCTGTCTCAAAACAACAACACAGAAATTAAAGAAAGAAAAAAGAAATAAAGAATATGAAACTTTATTTCTTTATGTGATCAAGGAGCAATCATTTGCCCCAAAAGGACACACAACATACATTCATTCAATACTTTCCAAAGTGCTGATTAACTTAATGTTTTCCTGATTTTCCACAAATTGCATTTGAGATACACAAGTCCTTTACTACTATGTAAGTAGGAAAATGACTCTTGCAGTCATAGTAAATTGAGAAGAGGGCTTTTTTTAAACCTTAGGCAATTAAAATAGACTGGCCTTTGTAGTTACACCACTGACCTTTCCTCTGAGTTGACTTGATTGGCAGTGAAATAGTTCTGACAAGTGCTCTGCTAGCTTAGGTTGTGTTGGTCATTACACTGAGCATTCAGACAGCAAGTATCACTCAGCTTATAGTTCAGCTAAGTTTATTTTCACTAGGATACTATGTAATAGTTTGCAAAAAATAAAGACCTACTTTGAGAGGTTAATTAAATTACCTTTATTTGCCAATTCTAGCTTTATATTATTATTTGGCCATCTACCATCAAAGAGTCTATCAACTTAACTGTTGAGTCTATATTACTTTGAAAAGAAAAAGCAATCAATAATGATATGACAAAAAAAAAAAAAAGCACAGTGCTCTCCAATACCAAATGCTAAATCTGTCAGTTCAACAATCCTGAGTCAAAGAACATAACTTTCTGCTTTTGTACTGTTTGTAGAACTGGGATACTTTCATTTATACTTCACAGTAAATTAACTATGGAAGTTACTGAGCTTCATGTGCTCTCTCCTGGATCAAGGAGAGGAGAGAAAGGTCAGGGCATGCACAGTGGTTCTCTCTGTTAGGAGAGAGACATACAGCTTATGTCGGGAAACACAATGCAGTGTACAAACTCTTCCATTGTGGAAGGTTTGTCTTGCAATATTTGCTTGTTTTCCACTCTTCCGAACTGGGCAAGGGGCCCACAAAATTAGCTATCAAAGCAATTCCTATTTATAGCTGAGAAAATTAAAATTAAAAACTAATGACAGTCAATGAGAGGAAGGGTGCTACTTTGGAAAACAGTAAATGCAGCATGGTTGACACTATGCTAGCCAGAGCTTACCGTGCATTTGAGAGAGAGGAGGTAGGGAGTTGTCTAAAGAACATAGAGCTTTCATTTTATAAGATGAAAAGAGCTCTGGGGCTGGGGATGTAGCTCAGTGGTAGAGCCCTTGTCCAGCAGGTATGAGGCCCTGAGCTTGCTCCTTAGCACTGCCAAAAAAAAAAAAAAAAAATCTGCAGAGATGGTAGACATAGCTGCACATGATAGTGATTAAAAATGCACAACTGAAAATTGCCACAAATTTTTAGAGTTGGGGAGAAAAGAGATAATGAAATAACAGCTCACTGTGTTTGTTCTGGAAGACTTGTTCCAAGAGCTATTTTAAAAATTACACAAGAGGGGCTGGGTGCCAATGGCTCACCCCTGGAATCCTAGCTATTTGACAATCTGAGATCGGGAGATTGAAGTTCAAAAC